TTCAGCCACACTGGCGGGAGTGTCCACCATGGGGAAGTCCTCGTCCTCGTCGTCCCCGTCATCAGGACCATCTGGATCGGCAAGCAAGGCCTTCCCCGGTACCAGCCTTAGTTTGATTAAAACCCGGTGTGCTCCATGCCGAATGACCCTTTCGGGCCTTTTCATCTGTCTCCGACCACGTTGGGCCGCGTTGTCGTCGTCATCGTCGCCGTCCTCTTCCTCCTCCTCTTCCTCTTCCGATTGACTTCTCGAGTCCAAAGGCTCTCGCCGTGCTTCGCTAGCAAGTGTGCGTTGATGAGGATCTAGGTTCAGAATCAGTACGCCATCGGCAAAGGTGCGGTTGGCTCGACCCTTTCGTGCCAGAGGCTTCTCCCGATGTCGCAGTGCTTCCCTCTCCTCCGCCTCGGAGGGATTAGAAGATAGCTCGTCGATGGGCACAAGCGGTGCAGGGCTCGATCGCGGCCCGTACTCCGGCTTCACCGGCGTAAGTCCAGGGCTTTGGAAGACGGAATCTCCATGGGCCATGAGAGAATATGACGACGAACCGGCTGACAAGAGGGATGAGGTTAAAAAGCTAGGAAAGGCAGAGAGAGAATTTTCGACTTATTGAGCCGAACGCTAATGTCTATAGGTTGCGTTAGTACAAGGAATTTCAATTTGTTGGATAAGGTTCTAGAGAGTGCATTGACATTGACCACCAGTTGGGTGGCAAGACGTGGAACTCGCTACAACGAGGGAAAAGAAAGCAGCGAGCTCGGACTCACAGTATTTCCAGGGTCGAGCGGGGGAAGAAGTGGAGTCTCCCGCGTAGCCAGGCAGTATAAGGATAAGTAGTGGTAGGAAACTCATACCTGAAAATAAAATGGTCCCCCGCTGGCGGGGGTGATCTACCACGTGGGGAAAATTGAGTGGTGAGGCTCTTTGAGGCTCTAACGGGTCCCGTCCGGGTTGGGATTGAAGAGTCAGGAGAAAGGGTGTCAAGTGATGGGCGATAGCCAATAAGTAAGTTCCAAGTCAACAACTCCAAGCGATGAGCTCCGCCTCATTTAAGGCGAGACCAGAGAAAATTTCGGGGGAGGGGGTCTTGTCATACGCTCGCCATATCCGTCCTCAACAGCCCTTTCTTTCTCTCGCGGTATACCCGTCAACGTAGTCCATCATATTATTTCTTCACAAACCTACGTCGCCCCTTTCCTCCCT